GCAGAGGTTCCCTAAGGCTATTACCCATCACTTTGAGTATTCTGACTCTCTCACCATTATGGGGTTAAAGGTGCAGTATGGTGCCTATCAACGAGGGTTGTAGGGTAATGAAGAAAAAAGAGGAAAATAGTAAAGAGAGGTGGCGTTAGAAAATTGGGGAAAGGGACTTGGCTACGTGTTGCTATTAGCCTGATGACTTGAAGTAATTTGCACTTTTGTGCTATAGGCTAGTTGCACCCCTGACACACATGACGGAGTGCTGAGAAAAGATGTAATGAGCTTCTCCCTTGCAGCGCTATGTGCAAGGGAAAGCCTTGATAATCCGTCCCGCTATACGCACCTTCCCTGCCCTTCTTTATTATATTTTATACCAAGCGCTAAAGTAACCCTTTAATTGCATTCAATGGAGAAGTGAGTAGATATATAGATCAAGGAACTGCAGTGGATGTGATCTTGATTTTCATATGATTCCACACACAAGGTTACTATGCAAACTAAAAGTAAATGGTTTAAATGAAAATTCTTGTTTATAGATATACCTTTGGCTTAAAGGAAAATGTTACTGTCTCTCAGCCTCTTTAATCAGCGATGGGGGGGGAAACTAATTTGCCCGTACATTAGGTCTCCCCCATAGGAAAGCATTGAATTAATGCTTTCATATGGTGTTTTTCAAGATGCTGGACGTCCTCATGCAAAGTGTTAGAACAGCCGGCGTCATTTCACAGAGCGAAAATCTCTGTGAAACACCAGGAAGTGCATCTAATGGCTGGGTGCCTAGAGTGTCCCTTTGAAGATAGCAGTTAAACAACTGAAGAACCTCAATGTTCTGTAATGGGCCCATTTCTCTTTCAAGCTCCTGCTATGTAAAATAGCTGTTTTGAAGATATGGTAATGCTTTAATTGCAGGGCTAAACACAGTGGCTGTCTTTCTTGCAACTACCTGACGGTGCTTCCGCATCCAGAACAGACTCAACTTTGCAAGATTGATTTCAATGCTTCTCATTGAGAAGCATGCATGCCTCATCCCCAATGCCTCTCTATGAGAAGTATTGGACTGGACGAGAAACAGTAGGAGTTATGCGACCTGGGAAACAGAGAGGACGGCTGCTAGGAGTGAGTTTATGAGCTGTTAGCAAGTGAGTAAAAGCCCTTTTAAAATTTGATTTTGGAGGTAGCAGAAATTAGTTCAGTTAGGGATAATGTTAAAAGAGAAGGACTTGTTATAACTAATGTGAAAGCTTGATGATCTATTGAGAAATCTGATTGCCATTATGGAGACAAGAACAAATGCTTTCCCTTCTTGCAGAAAATGTAGCAAAGACTTCAAATGAGTTTCTCCCCTTCTTTTAAATTCAACCCATAAAAAGGCTTCCCCCCCCACCGACTTAGATTATTACGCAACTAAGACCATTTGCTTTACTGAAGAAAACCAGGAATAAAGATAAATAATGATTAATTTCCTTAATAATCTTGTTTTGTTTTTTAAGTTATATTTATTGCTTTATTTAAGTCATATTTTATTTTTTTTTTAATTAAAACTTAAAAGCCAGCACTTGTACAGCGTTTACATAGCGGTGATTTTATAGTTTATGTTTTGTTAAACATTGGCAGAATCATATAAGCATGGGAGGGAGGGAACCAAAAAAAAAAAACCTACAACAACCTAGTTTGACGTCATTGCAGCGCGCCAACGTTTTACCATCATGGTCGCTAGTCCCATACGTCACTCCTTCACTGCCTTCAACAAACATGGCCACCAGTGATCGTTTCGCAATTTCCGGTTAGCAGGCTGGCCGCGCCTTTCCTTTAGTCCTATGAACTCCCAGCTTTCCTTCCAGTTTTGTTCTTTCCGGTTCCGGTCGCGTTAGCTCTCAGTACGATAGACAATATGGCATACCGGGGACAGGGACCGAAAGTCCAGAAAGTGATGGTTCAGCCCATCGTATCTTTTTACATGTTGGTCTAGGTACTGCCCGCATGGAGGGCTTCGTCTCGGGCTGTGATGGCATCCTATATGATGCACGTGTGTGACCGCCTCAATGGTGGTTTTGATCTCTCTCGGGAGGCTCTACTGGGTGTAGTTCAGTTTAATAATGTGTGAGGGCTGGGGGGGGGCGCATAATAATGTGTGAGGGCTGGGGGGGGCGCATAATAATGTGTGAGGCTGGGGGCGCATAATAATGTGTGAGGGGCCAGGGGGCGCATAATAATGTGTGAGGGCTGGGGGCGCATAATAATGTGGGCTGGGGGAGCGCATAATAATGTGAGGGCTGGGGGCGCATAATAATGTGAGGGCTGGGAGGGTGAGGCTGGGGGGAGGGCTGGGGGGAGCATAATAATGTGTGAGGGCTGGGGAGCGCATAATAATGTGTGAGGGCTGGGGGGCGCATAATAATGTGTGAGGGCTGGGGAGCGCATAATAATGTGTGAGGCTGTTAATGTGGGCTGCATAGGCTGGGGCGCATAATAATGTGTGAGGGCTGGGGCTATAATGAATGTGAGGGCTGAGGTGCTGGGGTATAATAGGGCTATAAATGATAAAGCAGGAGCTGGGGCTTATATAATAATGTGAGGGCTGGGGGGCATAATAATGTGTGAGGGCTGGGGGCATAATAATGTGTGAGGGCTGGGGGATGCATAATAATGTGTGAGGGCTGGGGGAGCGCATAATAATGTGTGAGGGCTGGGGGGATAATACGTGTGAGGGCTGGGAGCGATGCGACAATAATGTGTGTGGGCTGGGAGGGGGATACTAATGTGTGAGGGTTGGACATACTAATGTGTGTGAGGGCTGGGAGGGGGAGCGATACTAGGTGTGAGGGCTGGAGGGGAGCGCATACTAATGTGTGAGGGCTGAGGGGAGCGATACTAATGTGTGAGGGGCTGGGAGGGCTGGAGAGGGGGACTAATGCATACTAATGGCAGGGGGGGCGCATAATAATGTGGGAGGGCTGGAGATTGTGCAAAAAGTTCTAGATTTTTATTGACATGTAACATGATTCTGTATCTATTCTAAACCATCTGGCTATAATCCTTAATCTAGGTATAACAGAACCTTATTTTCAGGTATCTACAGAATGTAAGTATCCTGTGTGTGTGTGAAAAACCCCCCAAAAAACTATATATATATATATATATATATATATATAATATATATTCTGTGCTCTCCCCCAATAAAAATATCTTTATGACTGTATAGGAATTTCATTGCGCATGTGCAAGAGTACAGCACTGACTTGGGCTCTTGGCAGATGATGCGCCATGAGCAAAAGAGACCCACCAGATGGTCATGGCTGTGGCTTCAAATAATTAAAACTTACTCTCCCTTGTACCTCCTGGTCACAGAACTACAAAAAGTCACAATTTGGGTTCTCTACAAAATAAGACCATAGAAGGTGTCAGAGCTGCTTTAAACATTCTTTCCCGGATATATCCATGGCAGTACTACAAATGGGTATGGCTCCTCCCACTCCTCAATTGGACAGTAAACATCTCCTAATTAAGTAATAAAAGAGACTCCCTCTCCTATCTCCTCAGTCTTTTTTGCTGTCCACTTCTCAAGCACATAGGATGTTTCACCTCTCTCTTTTTTTTTTTTTTTTTATATATTTTATTTTTATTGGATTTTTTTTTGTGCATGTCTCCATGTTTCCGGAGTACGGTAAGACCTTGTATTATAACATTGTAATAACACAAAACGTAGTGTTATAAGGAAAAAGAAAGAAAGAAGAAGAAGAAGAAATAAAATATCGCAACATCGCAGCACTGAATACAAGTATAACATTCTCAGTAACAATTGTATTTGGCCTAGGATACACATTGGTTTCATATCTGTCACGGTAAACCTGCCGCCTTGGTCATTGATTCCTATGTGTGTGTGTGTGCGGTATAGCATGCGTCCAAGAGTTGTGGTATGTCGTTCTGGGTATCGCTGTGGTTCAGCCTTTTATACCCAGGTAGTTAGATTGTTGTGCCATAGGCGAAGAAGAGGACCTCCCATGCACCCTCTGTCCCACCCCCTGACCTTGTTCCTTGTCCCTTTCCTGGTTAGCTTCCCCCCCTCTTAGGTAGATACGGTGGTTAATTAGTTTAGTCGGCCTGTCTACCTCTTAGCAATTCTTTCCAGGGTTGCCATATGTCTTTGTATCTGTGATATTTGTCTAACGATCCCCATCTTAGTTCCTCCATCTCATGAAAATGTTCTATTCTTTGAAACCAGTCTGTTTTAGAGGGCGGGATCGCCGATTTCCAGTGGTTCACTATCGAGCTTTTTGCCGCTGTCAGCATAAAGTAAACGAGGGAATGTTTGAATTTACGGTGTGGCATTTCGAAGTGGAGTAGTAGGAGTGCCTCTAGGTTGTAGGGTATGGGCGTGTCTGCTATCAGATTGACCGTGGTCCAGACTTCTTTCCAGAAGCCCGATAGCTCCTCACATGTCCACCATATGTGCTGGAAGGTGCCCTTGTCTGAGTTGCATCTCCAGCACATTGGTGATGAGTTGGAGTCGAATCTGTGAACATCCACCGGGGTGGTATACCACTTGGAGATGAATTTATAGTTAATCTCCTGTAGTGGTATGCTAGAGTGTGCGTGGAAGATCGTTTGGAAGATATTCTTCCAGTCTCCTGCTTCTAAATCTTTGCCTAAGTGGTCCCTCCATAATCTGGTAAAGTACGGTAATTGAGTACTCGTCTGGGTTTGTAACAGTTTATAGCAGAGGGATGTTGGCTTGTGAGGCGTTTTTTCTCCCGAGCATAGTAGTTCAAATTTGGTCCTGTCCCTTGGAGTCCAATGTGATAAGCCCTGTGCAGTCAAGAAATGTCGCATTTGTGCGTACTGAAATCTCTGCATAAGGGATGGGTCTTTCCCTTCTGTCAATAGTGTGATTGGCGTCACTCCCCCCTCTCTCACTACCTCGTCTAGTGTCAGATGTGCCTTCCGTTGGTCGTCTCTCATTGGTTTCAATTGGAAGCCCCTTTTCCCTGCTATGAAAAGGGGGTTGTTCGTTATAGGGTATTTCGGAGATGGTGTTGGGGCAATGTCTGGGTAGCTGCGTACTTTTTTCCATATTTGTAGGGTTGGTGTTATCGTCGGGTGTGCTAGTGTCGTCCAGTCGTTACCCGAGGTCAGCAGCCATGGAATTGCCTTTAATGAGTCGCCTATCTGAACTTGTTCTATTGTGACCCACTCTTTGGAGGCGTTTTGGTATGTCCAGTCTATGATTCGGCCTACGTGTATGGCCTGGTAGTATAGCCAGATGTCCGGCAGGCCCACCCCCCCTAACTCCTTAGGTCTCGTTAGTATGTTGTACCTTATTCTTGGACGTCTTTTGGCCCATATGAACTGTGTAAATAATGCCTGAATTTTCTTAAAAAAGGTTCTCGGGATGGCGATTGGGAGAGTGTTTAATAGATATAGTAGTCTGGGGAGTACATTCATTTTTAAAATATTTATCCTCCCAAACCATCGGAAGTGTGGTTTATTCCATGCTTCCAGGTCCGCACTAATAGCTCCTAAGATTTGTGGGAAGTTAGCACCATATAATAGCTTAGTGCGTGGAGTTATATTGACTCCTAAGTATTTGATGGACTTTGTTGCCCATTGAAATGCATATCGCGTTTGTAGTCGTGTCTTGTCCTTGTCTGGTAATGTGAGGTTCAGTATTTCACATTTGTCAACATTGATTTTGAAGTTGGATAGGGCACTGTATTCGTCTAAGAGGTCCATCAGTGTGGGAAGAGATTCTAGGGGGTTAGTGAGTGTAAAAAGTAAGTCATCTGCAAATGCCGATACTTTGTACTGGTGTGCACCCACCCTTATTCCCTCTACACCCGGCCTGTTCCGTACCGCGTTTAGCAAGGGTTCCAATCCCAAGATAAAAAGCAACGGAGACAGGGGGCAACCCTGTCTCGTGCCGTTCGTTATTTGGAACGGATCGGACAGTATCCCATTAATTTTAAGCCGTGCCGAGGGGTGAGAGTAGATTGCCTGGACCCACTGCATCCACCTTTTCCCAAAGCCTAGTGTTTCCAGTGTCGACAACAGAAAACTCCAATCCACCCTGTCGAACGCTTTTTCCGCGTCAATAGCTAACATGATGGAAGGGGCTTTATTGCTGAGAGCTTCGTGTATCAGGGCAATGATCTTCGTGGTGTTGTCTTTGGCTTCCCTAGAGGGGACAAATCCCGCCTGGTCGGGGTGAATCAGGGTTGGGAGCATAGGTTTCAATCGTAATGCTAACATTTTAGTAAAGATTTTGATATCTACATTAATCAGCGAGATTGGTCTGTAACTGCCGCATAAATCAGGGTTCTTTCCAGTCTTGTGAATAAGAGTAATATTGGCCTCCAGACTCGGTTTAGGGAGGGGTTTGTCAGGGCTTATGGAGTTAATCGCTTCCAGAAGGTGTGGGCCTAGTTCTTTCAGATACGTCTTATAGTACGTAGCCGAGTAGCCATCTGGACCTGGGCTTTTGCCCGATGGGGTGGTTTTAATCGCGTTCATGAGCTCGGTGAGAGTGAAGGGCTCATCTAGGGATTTGGCCAGTGTTTGGGGTAGTATTTTGTCGAATTTATCGCTAGGTATGCCTTGATCCTATCCTTGTCCTGTGATGTACTCGTTAGATTGTAGAGTGAGTGGTAAAACTCCCTAAATGTTTTTGCTATCTCACTGTTTGATTGTACAATGTTGTTGTTTGCTGTTTTAATCTGGGGGATGTACGTTCTCTCCTGCTTATGCTTTAGTGCGTTTGCTAGGAGTTTGCCGCACCTATTCCCTTGGGCATAAAATAACTGTTTAGTCCAAACCAGTGATTTTTTAGCCTTTGATTGTAGTAGAATTGTTAGTTCGGACCTAAGGGACAAAAGTTTGCGATGATCGGATTCAGACATGGTTTCCTTATGCGCCTCTTCTAAGTTTTTTATGTCTGTCAATAGCTCTGTCTGTCTCTTAATTCTCATTTTTTTAAGAAAGGAGCCCCATTTTATTAGTTCCCCCCTCACTACACACTTATGTGCTTCCCACTGGAGGAAAGGGGTTGTGTCTTGTGTGTTATTGTCTAGGAAATATTGGGAGATAGTTTCGGCAATAGCTTTCTTAGCCGTTTCGTCATGCAATATAGTGGTGTTTAGTTTCCACTGGCCTGTGCCCTGAGCTAGGGTAGGAATTTTGAGCTGTATCTGAACCGGGGCATGATCGGACCAGGTGATGTTGCCGATTGTTGCCGAGGTTACTAGTGAAAGGTCTCTGTGTGTGGTGATGAAATAATCTATTCTAGTGTATGTGGAGGCCGGTCTGGAGTAAAATGTGTAGTCTTTCGTGGTGGGATGGAGTGCCCTCCAGCAGTCCACTAATTGATGGCCGTGCAGTAGTCGTTTAATTTGCGTTCTGGTCGGTTGGAGATGGTTAGGGTGTCGCGCCGTGCTATCTTTTTGAGCATCTAGAGATACGTTGAAGTCTCCCCCTATAATTAAGGTCCCTGTTGTAAGTTGTTGAACCTTGTTTAAGATTTTACGGAGGGTGTGACATTGTCGTGTGTTTGGAAGGTATAGATTGACCAGGGTCACCGGGTGGTTGCTAATCTGTCCCTGTAGTATAACATAGCGGCCTGAATCATCCGCGAAATGCTGGCTGTACACAAATGGTATCTTGGCTCCTATCAGAATGGCAACCCCGCGGGATTTGCTATGTGTGAAATTGTTGTAATACGCGTGGGGGTAGTGTCTATTGGTGAGTTTTGGTGCCGTGGGTCCTTTAAAGTGCGTCTCCTGCACGAAAACAACATCGGCTTGTATTCGTTGAAAGTCCCTCAGTGCCATATTCCTCTTTTCAGGAGAATTTAGTCCCCTGACATTGTATGAGAGTATTTTTATAGTATCTATGGTAGGTACGTGTTTATTGACCGTTGCTATGGCGGTACCTCTTGTGTCCATGGTAAAGTCGTGTCGTTGTGGGGCGTAGATGCCCGGCGGTGTGTGCGATATAAGGTATAGAAGCAACAAAATATCTAAACTTAGATGTAAGAAAACTTTTTAACAGCGAACTTGTAAAAATGTGACTCCTAGATCTAGGAGCCACGTATATCCGTTAGTATGTAACTAAC